ATTGTTCAGAGGCCCTAATCATCTTCCGTGCATTATTTCTTGGATTAAGGAGGTTAAACAAAAACACTTTGCCAATGGAACCAGACAATTTACACTTAAAATAAGAAAACACAATTACGTTGTTATTTCAAGAGCATGTTATCTAATGATCTTATTTTAAGAGTAAAATTACTAATTCCATTGGCAAACTATCTTATTTACCTACTCAAATTAAGGCGAAAACACTTAATTTAGGATATTTTTACCTAGATTTTTTTTCCAGTGTAAAATTTAATTTCTTTTATGAGTTTAGAAAGTCAAAAAGTTCTCCCTCCTACAGGAATCATGATGTTTACCTTCCTCGTGTTTTAGGCCCGCATAGTTTTTGTTGCAGCAGATTTTATCCAAATAACTTTTTGAACTGCAGCTTTTTTAGAACAGGCAACAAACAAGATATACATGCAGCGACTCGTAGGAAGCAACCTGCTGTGGTTTCTCTTTTCAGGCAGCTAAAAATAATGCGGTCTGGAAAGGAAAGTGTCCCATGTACAGTCCTGATATTACAGCTCCATGCTGTTTTCTGTCATATTAGGAACAGCGTGGAGTCAGAATAATCTTTAGAACTCCATCACTCCCACTGAGAAACTTCTTCCCAATCATTCCTTGTCCTTTTTTTTTCTCCCAAAGGGAGAAATCTACATCCTGTCCCCTCTGGACAGGGAGACCAAGGACCACTACACTTTAACTGCTGTTGCACGAGACAACCCTGGAGGGAGCCCCAACAACAGGAGAGAGAACTCTGTTCAGGTTGGGACAGTAAAGCTTTACATCGACTTTTACACTTTTACACGACTTTTACATATATCATGTAAAAGTACATTTTTTCATCACTTTCTGATATTAAATCCGGCTCAATCTTTGAGCTTATTCAGGAATTTTATAGTTATTTTAATTGTACAAAGTGTGAGGATTATAAGACGACTATTGGAGCATTTTGCTGCAAAAATTGGTTATTTTTGGTGTATTTTACTTTTATTAGAGCATTTTCCAATCCAATAAGATGGTTTTTGTTTAAAGTAAGGACATATTACAACATTATCTTATTTTTAAGGACATAATATCAAATTATCTCTCTTTAAAGGCCGAAAAACACTGTAAAAAATCCAAATCTAGATAAGACATTTTTTTTATTAAAATAAATGCATTTGTTCTTGGATTGAGGAGTTAAAAGTGACATTTTGCCAATGGAACAAGACAATTTACTCTTAAAATAGGAAAACACAACTGCATTGTCTTATTTCAAGTGCATTTTATCTAATTATCTTTTTTTAAGAGTAAAAATACTCATTCCATTGGCAAACTACCTCATTTACTTACTCAAATTATGGGTAAATACACTGAATTTAAGAAAATTCTACTTATTTCTAGATCATTTTTCCAGTGTTGGCAGATCATCTCAAATCAAGGACAAACACACTTGTTTTAAGAAATGTTTACTTATTTTTAATTCAATTTTTGCTTCGTCTGTTTGGTAAATTCACATTTCGATTTAATGAAGGCAAACTAATGAATGAAACATTGAAAAAATACCTCAGATGTTCTGATGTGACGTTCTGGAACAATCAGGAGACTTCAGCAAAGGAGAAAATGTTGGACCTCTTATGTGCGATCTCCAGTTCCCTTAAGGAGCTACATTCAGCAAAGTTATAGAAGCAGCAGGAAAATGTCTGACCATGCAGGAAGGAGATGGCTTAAGAAAGAAGGAAAACCCCAGACATGAGGGCTTTTTGTTGTTTCCAACACCCTGGAGAGTTTTATAATCCATGAGTTGAAAGGCTATCAGTAAGGAAGAAGCCGTGACTCCAAAAACAACAAAGAGAAACCGATTACAGCTTATAAAGCCCTGAGTGACTAATGGTTTCATTTTTCTGTTTCTGTAGCCTAATGAAGCTGAGACTGAAATATGTGATCATAATAAGAGATGGAAAATTAGAAGGAAACATGAAAATCACACCATGTAGAATAGAAAATCCCTTTATTTCACTTCACTTTCACTTTATTTTTTAGCAAATAATCCAACATTAAACAACAAAACAACAATATCAAAACAAAACCAACAATTTACCCAAAAAAAAGAGGAATAGGCTGAAGCAAAGCTTATTATTGCCTACCCTTTATTTCTACCACAATGGGGAAATTCTGGTGTTTATATCTCAAAATGATTATAGAAAAAAATGGTCACACAAACATGGACCTTAGAAAAATGTATAAGAATAACATAACAGTGAAGAGTTAAAAGATAAACAATAAAATAAGGTACAGTAAAGTGTTTTAGCACTATAAAAAATGTGTACCTGGAGAATAAATAACCAATATCCAGCTATGGAAATACAGTGATGGATATTTTAGATGTGCAAAAGGACAGCAGCATGTTATTTAACTGACTGAGATAGAAACTGGGCAAAATCAGCATGAATGGAACAACTGATTGAGGTTGTTGGGAACAGTGGTGGTTCTAGAGTTTTCCAGCTGCTGGGAGGAAGAATCTGTGATAACGCTCCCTGGTGCATTTAAGGAGCAGCAGTCTGTCACTGAAGGAGCTCTCCAGTTCAGCACCAGCTTCATGCATGGGGGGAGACATTATCCAACAGAGATGTTAGTTTAGTTTGGATCCTTTTGTTTCCCACCTCCTGCATAGAGTCCAGAGGACATCCAATCACAGAGCTGGCCTTAGGAGTGTTTTATTATAAAGGGGGTTTTACATAATATTAGCCAGGAGTTGAAGTTGGGGCTCAAAGAGAAAAAGTAAATGATTTAGAGCCGCCATCACTAAAGCTGTGATGGAAAAGGGATTTTTTTCAAGACGGCTTATAAACGTGACCCACATACAGCAGTTCT